TTGAAGTATTAGGAATAGAAGTTGGCATGGGCTTGTGAAAGGTGTATATCGGGGTGATGGATGCGAGCTCGGCGTTGGTGTCACGTACACTGAGTTTCATAGCAGGGTCGACAATCATCCGCCGTTTCGAACTGACCAAGAGGATGAAATGCCTGAGAAAGTCGATGCCGGTGATGACAAAGGGGACCGCAGCAACGGTAAACACCCAGCGGAACGCGCACCGAAGACGTAGTTTTATGTATTCTGTCAGCATTCTTGACGGCTCGTCTAAACAGACACGTGCACACAACCCCAGACACACACACAACAAGCGTCTAATGCTCTGCTTCCCTATTGGTTCAGCCTTCCCCTTGCGACACCTTAATGTACTCACCCAGTTAGACATTGATCAGATTACAGTAGTTTGTTTACCAAAGTGACTTTTTAACTTGCCCGTGCATTTTGACCTTTAGTATACAACACTGGCGTCGCGCCTTACGAACCTACGCCATGGAATTACATCCTCCTACATTTTACTGCCCTGATCCGACCCTACGTCCTACCGAAAGTGCATGGGCCCAGTGGAATACCTCGTTTACAAACTATCTTGACCTACTACCTGCGGCTCCTAACTTAACTGAAGGCCAGCAACTGAAGCTTCTCAGACACCTACTCGGTAATGAAGGACAAAGTCAATTTGGAGCTCCAGTCACAAGACGTCTTAAAGAAAGCACTAGAAGTGCTGGACAAGTTATGGAGCCAGCGTAAAAACCTCTTCATGGCTTGCCTCAAATTCGGCCGACTTACACAGGAACCATCGGAAACTCTAGACGGTTTCGTTGATCGCCACATTCGCGGTGTACGACTCTGCGAGTATCCAACCCTACCAAAAAATAGAATCGAGGGCGTAATGCTAGTGCAGCAGTTGATTAGTGGAATCACCAACAACCGAATTTGGTATGTCTGCTATCCGAAGACGCTTCCAAATTGACTTGGGATAAGGCTGTGGAATTAGCTCGCCTCAAAGCATGTGCGGCCGAACAATTGTGATGTTTCGCCACCCACGCAGACATACAGGAGGTTGCCAAGATCCATCGCTTGCTAACCGAATTTCAATCCCCACAGAAATGCTTCCGTTGCGGCAGCCTACAGCATAAAGCCAATTTTACCATGTGTCCTGCCTTAGAAATGGGTTGCAAAAAGTGCGGTAAGCGTGGACATTTTGCCCGTTGTTGTCGTTCAGTACGCATTTCTGTTGCATCCTACAGATCCTGTTCTAGTCAGCAGTTACAGTCCTCTGAAAACGTATTTTCCATTGATACTACAGGTACTGTGTCTAACTATCGTTCCAATTGTCCAGAGCCTAAACTACCTATGCCTGACATTCGTACTGTTACAGTTATTGCACACGATAGAACAACACATGTTGACATGGAACTTGATTCAGCCTCTCTTATCACTATAGTACCGAGTAGTTTTATGATATTTACCTACATGATATGCTATACATCCTTCAGCCTATCGATTTGACAGTTATACAAAGGCCCTGGTAGAAATACGAGGATTTGTGGTGATTGTGTTGCAACTTGGGGCCGTGAAATCATCAGTTGCTGTGTACGTTACTCGCGAATAACCGTCCCTTACTCGGACGCAACGCTATGGTTGCACTGGGAGTCACGCCGTCCCTATCTCGTACGCGTATCATGGCAATTAACCCATCAGACTTACAGATACAGTACCCGAAATTAGTTGAACAAACAATACGGCGCGTCCCCTCCTCCGTTCACCGCATATGTCTGAAGCAGGATGCTAAACCGGTAGCTATTGCTCATCCACGTCCAATTCCATTGGCTCGAAAAGACGCTGTGTCGTCAGCATTACGGCAGATGATTGCAAATGATCCCACTGAACCCATTAACTGTTCTGAATGGGTCCACCCTATGGTTACAGTTCTCCAGAAGGGAGGTACAGTAAGAATATGCAATGACCTGCAGGCCCTAAATCGGCAAGTCGTGGTAGGAAAGTTTGGGCTTCCAACCGCGGAAGAACCAATAGTCAAACTAGCCGGCGCCCGATATTTTTCAAATTGGACCTTAGGAAGGCTTTCTTTCACATGCCTCTAATTAAGGAGTCAAGATGGCTGACCGCATTTCTCACTATGGACGGACTATTTCAGTACAAAGTCTTGTCAATGGACTTGAGTTCAGCCCCAGCAGCTTGGCAAAAGTTTATGGTTCACTCATTTGCCAATTTACCTGGCCAAATAGTATACATGGACGAGATCTGTGTGTTCGGTAGGACTCCAGAAGAACAAGAATCATGACTGCATGCTGTGTTACATCAACTACACGATCTTAACCTCTGATTACACCTCGAGAAGTGCAAATTTAATGCTAGTGAGATCGAGTTCCTAGGCCACATTATAACAAATGACGGTATGAAGCCAAGTTTTGACAACGCGCGTGCCATCACCGAGGCTCCTTGTCCGCAGAACTCCACTGAAATAAAGCATTTTCTAGGTATGTGTTCGTACAACCTACGTTACCTGCAGGATTTCACGAATATTGCCTAGCCACTGCTTGAACTGACAAAGGAGAAAAGTGTATTTGTTTGGGGTCCACCCCAACAAAAGGCATTTGACGAGATAATACGCAGCCTTGCTTCCACACCAGTCATGGCGATTTTCGACGAGATGTGCCCAACGATTGTCTCTACTGATGCATCAAACATTGGGTTGGGTGCTATACTATCCCAAATTCAAAATGGGCATGAAAGAGTTATTGCATACGCTTTCAGAATATTGTCGGCGGCGGATCTTTCTTACTCTGCGGCTTGTGAGAAGTGGAATTTGTTCTTGTTCAGAAGACCCTTCACTCTTCGTACAGACCACGCAGCACTAACTAGTTTACTTACTCCGGGAACAAATGGCATCAGGCCACTTCGGATACATCGCTGGTATGCACGATTGTTAAGATACGATTTTCAAATTAAATTTCGTCCCGGACGCGGAAACCAGGTAGCGGATGGGCTACCTCGACTGCCCCTCAACGAAACTGAAAATAATGAGGATGATAATGAGAGGTTACTGGTGTCATTGCTGAGTAATGAACCAATCTCAGCCCTGACTAAGGAAGAACTCCAGAAGGCGACTAAGGAATACGACACACTTTGCCGCGTTCAGGGGTTTCTGCTAAACGGTTGGCCACAAAATAACAAGATCACAGGAGAGTTTCGTCCGTATTACGTGTTGCGTCATGAATTTTCATTTATAGATGGTTGTTTAAGGCGGGGCGAGACGTTTGTGGCTCCTCGGAGCTTGATACAAAAGATCATGCTATGTGCTCACGATAGCCACCCTGGTATCGTGCGTACGAAACGCAAGGTTGACGCATCTTTCTGGTGGCCCAAAATGTCACACGAAATAGAAAAGCTTGTTCAAGATTGCTCTTCATGTCAAAGGGCAGACAAAAGTTCAAGGCCGGTTTCATCCCTTATACAACCCATTGAGTATGCGACCATGGGCCAAGATAGCTCCTGACGTCATGGGTCCATTTAGCTCAGCGCCTCAGCATCAAAGGAACTGTTTGGTGGCGACCTGCTTTTACAGTAAGTGGCCGGAAGTCTATTTGTGTGGAGAGGTGACTACTGCCAGCATTATTCGATGGCTGAAATATATGTTTTCCCGCTTCGGATTACCAGAGGAGATAGTGACGGAAAACGGGCCGCAGTTTACAAGCCACGAGTTTTATTCGTTCCTTCAAATTCACGCTATCCGGCACTCACGTACAACGCCGTATAATCCAGCGGCAAACGGCATGGTAGAGCGGTTCAATCGATCCTTGAAAGAGAGTATCCAAACTATTCGCTTATCTGGTACAGGTTGGAAGGATGCAGTTCTACAAGCACTATTTTCTTACCGAACCACACACCACCGAGCCACAGACAAGACGCCAGCTGAACTCATGCTTAGGCGTGCCCTTCGAACAAAGTTGAATGCCGCATTTTCTATTCCTGCAACCAATAACTTAGACGCGTTAGATAGTCGCCATTGATATCAGACCACTTACCAGAAGCATACTACTCCGCTCCAACCCGGAACATTCGTGTGCGTGAAGATAAATGCTGTATCAAAAGGACAGCCCACGTTAGCAGGTCCGATAAGAACAACGCGTGCATGTGGGCCGGGCACTTAACGGCTGGAGGATGGCCGCACAGTCAATGCCCGGAGATGGTTCACAAGTATCAGACGAACGGAGCATATGCCATCAACCTTCACTGACGAAACCACGCACAGCACGCAGCTCCGCAGTACGAGCCGAGAACAAAGACGATATGGTTTTGACGCATCATACGATTAAGCGGAGAGGTGATGTTGTGTATTCTGTCAGCATTCTTGACGGCTAGTCTAAACAGACACGTGCACACAACCCCAGACACACACACAATAAGCGTCTAATTCTCTGCTTCCCTATTGGTTCAGCCTTCTCCTTGCGACACCTTAATGTACTCACCCAGTTAGACATTGATCAGATTACAGCAGTTTGTTTACCAGAGTGACCTTTTAACTTGCTCGTGCATTTTGACCTTTCGTATACAACACCTAGGTCTAGAGTAAGCGACCGATAATCGTAGGTGGATATTGATGTACCAGTGGCAGCACTTAGGCTTGTCTACGAAGAAACGGCAAGCTCATCTGGCATAGGAGGAATTACGCTGAATTCCGCTCCAGTATGAACTAAGGACTGGGTCTCTCAAACATAATCCCTTATGTAGATGAGATGGCTATGCGTTTGGCGACGTCGTTCATGGCCATTGCAATCTAGCGTGGCGGACCTTCCATATATATATATATATTTATTCACAGTCTGTTAACAGACATTGTGCCATCAGAACCACGGCAGAAGAAAAAGGTGAAGAAGATGGGGACACTAATGCGATTAAAAATATGGGAAACGAAGTTATTTTGGTTTTACACACGCCATTTTGTATTTTTTGTTTTGTTTTGTGAGTTTTTGTGTGTATCAAAGGGATGGTGAAATTGCGGAACAACATTGCCGCCACTGATGTCTGTTGCGGGCCATGACGTCCAATGTTTCCAACCACTGCAATTCAGCATCTCGTGGTCCCCAACCTGGAAGGCGGACTGGTCCGACTGCTGCCAAACTTGAGGTCGCCTTCTTCATACTCCTTCTCCACGTCATCGGCTGTCCACCGCGGCACTTTTTCCAATCGCTCCCTGGGAATGCAAATAGCGCTCGACGTGGAAGGCGATGGGCTGGCATGCGCAGAACATGCCCGAGCCAGCGCATGCGATGTCGGAGAATAACGTCTTGAAGACTGGCACTATTCGCCCCAAGCACGCGGTCTCTCACCTCTGCGTTGCTTACGTGGTGTTGCCACCACACCCTAGCAATCCTTCGTAAACAGCGATTATCAAAGACTGATAGCCGCTTCATATCTTCCGAGCGAATAGGCCAAGTCTCACAGCCGTACAAGAGTACTGCACGGACGGAAGCATTGTACACCCTGCCCATGAGCTTGAGAGTGACATCACGACGACGCCATAGACGTCTCAGTTTGATGAATGCAAGGCGAGCCTTTGCAATCCTTTGTGAGACTTCATCTCCAACACCGCCACCAGCCGTGATGCAACTCCCTAGGTAAGTGAAGCAAGGGACTTGCTCCAGAACATGTCCAGCAATGGTGAGCGCGGGTTCAGGCACCTGCCAATCCTGGAGCAGCGTTTTACATTTTCCCGGAGTGAAGCACAGGCCGTACTTAGACGCCTCCATCGCCAAGCGGTCCAGAGCGTTCTGGACGGATTGTGGGTCGTCCTCCAGCAAGGCGATATCATCGGCATAGTCCAAGTCCGTGAGTCTGTCTCCAGGGAGAAGCTCAACACCGCAGTCCTGGACACCTTCCAGTGCTCTTTGGAGAACATCTTCGATGGCGAAATTGAAGAGAAAAGGTGAAATAGGGCAACCTTGGCGAACACCGCTGGCCACAGCGAATGAAGAGGAGTGCGTGCCGTAAGCCCTAACTTTGCCCGACGTGTGTGTGTGAAGTACTTTCAGGATGGTTACAAACTTGTCGAGCACACCTTTCTTCAGTAAACAGTTCCACAACGCAGACCTATCTACTGAATCAAATGCCGCTCGGATGTCCAAAAACACTATGATTGTTGGCCGCCGGTGGATGTGACGGAGTTCGAGAAGTTGGCGAAGCGTGAAGATTTGGTCGATGCAGCCGCGGTTTGGACGAAATGCGGCTTGTTCTTCTCGGGAAAACTCCTCTCTAGTCGTTGAAAGCCTGCCAAGTAGGACCGACACGAAGATTTTGGATGCGACAGAGATTAGGGAGATTCCGCGGTAGTTGCAGCAATCGTCGCGGGAACCCTTCTTGTGAATTGGGACAATGACCGATTCTCCCCATGAGCTCGGAACCTTCTCCTCAGTCCAAACTTTCGTGAACAGCGATAGGATTTCGCTGCTAAGTACACTCCCACCATCTTAGAACAGAGCTGGTGGTAGGTTGTCGGGACCCGAAGCTTTGTGGCGTTTCAAAGATTGGACTACATTTCGAATCTCTGCTTCATTTGGGGGGCTGTGGAGACAGGCCAAGCATCATACATTGGGGCTGGAGGTGTCGCAGGGGACTGTGTTGGGTGGTTGAATTGAAGAGCGAAATGCTCTGACCAGCGACCCAATCGTCTGCGAAGGTTGGTGATCTTCGTGCCGTCTGCCTCGTAAATCGTCTGGCTGATAGCGTGGAAATTGCAACCAGTGGCCCTGATGATGTAAAACAGACGGCGGAAGTTGCCAGCTGATGCAGCGGCTTCCATCTCACCAGCTTGTTTTGACCACCAAGATTCACGATCAGAGCGAAGGCTTGCTTTCAGCTGTTGCGTAATAGACCGGCGGTGTTCGTTGTACTCTGCGGCAGCAGGCACCGCCCGTCGACGATCCAGCAATTCTGATGATCTTCCCGAGATCCAGCATTTGGGAGTGGAGCGAGTGAGGCCACAGCTGGACAAACCGGCCGATAACAAGGCTTGCTGGAGACTTGACCAGTGTTGATCAACATCCAGAGTGTGAGAGAGAGGGAGCTTTTCGCGAAGCTTTTGTTGATAATCTCTCTTCACCATTGGGTCCTCCAACTTGTAGGCGTTCAGTCGGGTGTGTTTTGACCTAGGCGAACCACCAAAACGCATGCAAACGGTCGCACACACCAGTGCATGATCGGTGTCGACGCATGTTGACCAAAATGTTCGGCAGTCGCGTACACTGCCGCGCCACCTGCGACTTATAGCTATGTGGTCAATCTGTGACCAGCGCTGGGTTGATGATGGGGGGCGCCAAGTGGCGTACTGGCGTCCAGGATGACGAAAGCTGGTGCTGGAGAGGAATAGTTGATAATCAGCACAAAGATTGAGCAGTCTCTCTCCATTTTCTGAGCGAACATCATCATATCCATGCGGTCCTCCGAGGTGGCGCTCACATGGCAGCAGACGACCGACACGCGCGTTGAAGTCACCTGCCAAAACAATGATGTCTGTTTTAGGAGCCCTTAGGAGCAGCTCATGAAGGTTCTGGTAGAACTGGTCTTTGACGATGTCTGAGCTACAGTCAGTGGGCGCGTAGGCAGAGATCACGAAGAGAGCACGCTTTTCGACTCGACATCTGCTGACCTTACAAGAGCCATGGAGCCTCATCGCACAAAGGCGGCTATTGATCGGAATCCAATCAATCAAAGCAGTCTCGGCTCTAGCGCTGAGGGCGATTCCAACACCAGCTTGCCCAGATGCGGCAGACTCGGCGTCACCAGAGAGGCGGAGATGGAACCGGGTGCGTGGATGCAGCGGTGACACCAGCTGGTAGACCGAGTTAGAGTCCTGGAGTCGTGTTTCAGTCAGGCAGCAGATATCAATTCCAAGGGTCTCTAACGTGCGTGCAACTCCAGCTTGCTGACCGATCTGCAGTAATGTGCGTACGTTAAAAGCTGCAAGTTTGAACTGCGTTCCGGGTTGCAGGAGCGAAGATAGTCTAAAGAGACACGTGCACACAGCCCCAGACCCACACACACAGAGCGTCTACCTCTCAGCTTTCCTATTGGTTCAGCCTTCTACTTGCGATATCTTGGTGTACTCACCAAGTTAGACATTGATCAGATTACAGCAGTTTGTTTACCAGAGTGACCTCTTAACTTGCTCGTGAATTTTGACCTTTCGTATGCAACACCTTGGTCTGGAGTAAGCGACCGATAATCGTAGGTGAATACTGATGTACCAGTGGCAACATTTAGGCTTGTCTACAAAGAACCGGCAAGCTCATCTGGCACAGGAGGAATTACGCTGACTTCCGCCCCAGCATGAACTAAGGACTGGGTCTCTCAATCATAATCCCTTATGTAGATGAGATGGCTATGAGTTTGTAGACGTCGTTCATGGCCATTGCAGTCTAGCGTGGCGGACCTTCCATAGCGTTGTAGCTACATGGCTGTACGCACTTATGGGCTTTACTTCCGAAAAGCGAATGGTAAAATTAGTACCCTGGAGCATCAGGTTTTGTTCGATGGTGCGATGATCCAGAGCGGCCGCAGTGCGTACGGTTAAAAGTTAGCTCCTCGACTTGGCGCTGAAGCGATGCTATCTGCGATGCTAGTCCGTTTATTGCTGCCGGCTGGTTAGTCCTGGGTGCTGGCGTGGTTAGGGCAGCAAAAAGCTACTCAGGTTCTTTGGTTTCAGTCTCTTGCTGGTGCTGTTCGATGGCTCGGCCTGCTAGATCTGCAACCGCTGTGAGTGGGATTACTTGCTGCTGGCAGGATGGTCTGAGTGCTTTCAGGAAGGCATTGCGTCCACAGCTCGCGGTGAAGCTCTACGTCTATGTTGGACGTGCCAATGAGCTGTTGCATTTCTCGCAACAAGGCTGAGGGCATTCTATCTCCTAGTTGCAGCTCAATAAATATTTGCTGCAGACGAACCTTGTCAGAAGTCGTGATTCGCTGAATAATAGCCTGTTTAAGTCTCACATGTCATTACAAGATGGGGGCAAAATACGGTGTACCTGACCTGCAAGAATATACTCTGAGGAAGGCAATATAATTTTTGCTTATACATGGCAGCATCAGTAGAAATCCATCGAATTTAAAATAAAGCTTCTAGATGCAAAAACTATATTGAAGGATCCTTCTCCCAAATAGGTCGAGGGGCTAATGTTCCAGTTGAAACAAGTGACCGGAGTTGCGCTCGGCGAGACAACTTTTATCAACTTTCCGGTCGCTCAGAACAAATTTCGCCAACCTAGCTGCGCACACTATGATATATTTTCCCACTTTACCCCTTATGTAGGCGCACCTACATACCCTCCCTAACAGTACGAATGTCCGCTGACAGTCTGAATTAATTCCGATGGGGACATGTTTCGGACTGTCGGAGGAATGTTCCCGCGGCACTTCTTTTTGCATTCCCTTGTGTTTTCCAGAACTCATGACCTTAGAGTACCTATGACATGGCCTCAACCGCTGCGCCGCACCTAGCCCGTTAACAAATAGTGAAAGCTATTCCGTTAACTTCCTCTTTACTAGTGGAGAAAGGGACATCGGCAGTACGCCTCCCCGACGACATGCTGCTGCACAATCAATCTCATCCTCTCCTCAGCCAACGATACCGCCCTGCTCCTGCCCAGCCTCGAACTCTGGCCACCAGACTACGTGACAACCGTCCTACCACCAGACTACGGTATGTAGGACTAGTTAATACTAGTACGAGACGATGCGCGGAATTAAACGCGGATATCAGAAGACAATTGGAGTTGGACACAGCGGACTGTATTCGATGGGCTACAACAAGAAGCGGACGGATGAAGCGAGACGAGAGCGTACACTTGAGCGCGGGAACTTACAACGCAGTTATGTGTCGAGCCGGTTGTAAGATTAAAACAACGAGTAAAGTACAATCGGTCAACAAGTAAATTGTACATGAAAGATAAGAGTTATCTTTTTGGGCGCTACAGGTAGAGCGGTGACGGGTTATCACTGCTCATATCCCTAGCAGCACGGCAGTACGCTGACATTAGTCATATGCTTTGTCAGGTGCCCCCGCAATCTTCCTCTGCTGCATGTTGTATCTAACCTCGGAAACTACTATCAGTCACTACTTGTCAGCACCTCCATTGAATCCAGGAATAAATTTCTCTGTATGGCTTCTGCAACATCTTTCAGTAAGCAGGCATTAGCCTCTCACCGATACCTAAGCGGGAAGAATCTGCTGGTGATGCGAGATTTCAGGTATTAGGAGCACTGTCCTGTACGCAGACCTCATTACTATGAGCGATATTTATAGGTGTCGCGTAAACGAAATGCACCGTATGCATATCCGAGGTTAGGCGTAAAAATATTATGGTAAATTACGAACTTTAACTTTTCGACTAACAATTAATGGGTAGTGTGCTTGTTCCAAACAGTTAATCGAAGAACTATCAATGCTTGTTCCGTTGAAGACGTGCTGTTACTTTATCCATAAACAGAGCTAATATTTGTATCATTGATTTTGGCAGCCATTTCTGATTAAAGTTGTATACTTATTATCCCCGCAACCTTGTTTTACGCAAGATGATGACGTGCAGCAAAATAGAAAACTCAAAACCTTTATACACGGCAATATATATCGCATCTTGACGAGGCTTTTGCTGAGGTAAATCAATATAATGTTTCGGAAACCCTGCAAGACACTGTTCTCGCGTAGCTGTGTAATAATTTGCAAGTGACCTATATTGGTCGGCCATCGCTCATTCGAGTGACCAATGGTTCCAGCAGAGACAACATTAGTGAATGACTAGGATCGGCTTCTGGCGACTGTTGTTGACGCGACGATCTAACCTACACAAGACAAGACCGCACTGTCTACTACGGCTGCTCCGGTTCCCTGAGGACTACCCCTGGTAGCACCTGTCCAGGTCCTGTTCAGATTAGCCTCCTAAACGTTCTTATGAGAGCATTACGCCAAACTGAACAGGATCTTATACCGTGAAACGGTTAAAAAGGGATTTTGTCCAGTTTACGGTGGACCAATTAAAATGATGCCAGCATTGCCTAATGGAAATCCCCCACTATGTGTGGCAATCCGGTAGGTCCAGATACCTCGATTGCCTACCATGGATATCCGAATTGGAACATCACACTTCTAGGCAGTTAGTGCCTACGGAATACATTGACGGTTCGGACCCAAGGTTCACTCAGTACGTGTCGCCGTAGTTGCTAGACGTGGGAACACACCTAGGCGGCGCTTCAAGCTGTTGGTCAGGAAGTGAAATGGGGCTTACCGCGGACCTGAGAACATCACAAGGCGAAAGAACATGGTAACCGGGGTACAAGAATGCTTTATGTACATGATGGTGTGTAGTACAAAGATCGTTAGTAGTAAAAAGCGGCATTGTCAAGGTGGTTAATCCGCTGCGGCGATGGGCAATGTAGGAGGCTAAAGATGTTCATAATGTAGCAGTGGACTCACCTCGTTCGCGCTGCATACTTTACTTTGCTAAACAGGCGGTCTCTTGTGCCGTGCAGAATGCAACCACTTTTGATGCGCCGTGTAATGTCAGCATCCGAGGCTGCATCACCCATGCGTTGCCGAATGATGCCTTTGTAGTTTTTATGCATTACTGTATGTCAAACTACCTTGTACAATGCCGTTCATATTGGTTCGCCTACGTGCAAACAAGCCACCTGCTTCTGAGTAGTATATCTTCGACCCAACTGATCTCATCATTAGCCGCTCCATTCACCTCTGACGACGAGTTGCACGTTAGCGCCGTGCACAGCACACAAATGGTTGACCTGAAAGTCTTTCAATAATAAGACGGACTTAAGACTCTGTTTTTGAAATCTGGGCCCTTCAGCCGTTCATCATATCAATTAAGCTCACTGAGCGATTGAAATGTCAGACCAAGCCCCGGTGCAAGACGTTGGGACTGTCGTTGCAGCATCTGCACCATGGTTTCGGGCATGCGGAGATGGCCGACCAGTTCTGATCGGATGAGGCATAGTTCAGATAAAAATGAAGCTGAGTGCAATGAAATGAGTTTATGAATTCTTACCTTTAAACGCGTTCAGTTCCTTTAGTACCTCCAGATAAGATGATGAAACATCAGCAATACCAGTCGGTGCGATTACTGTTTAATAGGGGCAGTAGGAATGCGATACGGTTGTTTGTTAATGGCTCTGGACGTGGTTAACTAATGCCACTGAAGTGAGAACTGAGAGCACGTGCGTATGTTACTGCAGCAGGTCGTTTGGGTTTTGTGGGACGCGCGGCATCTTCGTCATCGGAGCTGGAGCGGACGGGCCGTCGTCTATGGGGAAATTAAAAATAACCATACTCATACAGGACGCTTAGCTGGAAGACCCATCGGAATGGTGTTGTCTGTCAAATAGTTTGACAACGCTGTATCATTGAAAAGCCATTTGTGCTGAAAAAGCAAGACATCAATAGTTAGTGAATAATTGCGTGACATTGGGTAAATTACAAGATAATCGTTAAAATGCTTAAATCCGTCAAGAAGAAATTGATAATTTACAGTGTCTTTAGCCGCGAGCGAAAGAGCAGAGCATACAAGCTATAAACCTCTCAGCAGACTTACGTGACCGTAATTGCCCGGTGCAACCATTCGTATACGGGAGTTCCGTGGAGTTCGCAGCAGCGTCCGGCAGTCCTTTGGCAAAAATGGCATCCAAGGTTGCACAAGCCCCAACAGTAGACGAACAAATGACGCTGGTGTAAAAAGTGTCCGTCAGGGACAAAACGTATATTCTGCAAACAGAAGGACCAGGTGAAAACGCAGGCAGAGGGCGAGTGAAACATATCGTTACATACCGCTAGTTAAATTCATAATTAACGACCTTTGTGAATGCATGACATTTTTCCTTTGATTCAGTCAAACAAACTCACTCCAATGCGTCCAACTGCTGGCCAATCCGAGTGCATGCGAGAAACGTGTGAATGTCCAATCAGCTGCCGCCTTTACTTGCGGCAGCCTAAAGGCTTCCTTGATGGGCTGGCGCCGCACGTTCGTTCGAGTGTATACTCCCATCACATCCCCCCCATTTTCATGATCTTGCTGCTCTACTTTGCTAAATAGTCCATACACTTTACCACTCCGCGTCTTCTTTGTTGGATCTGCCGATGTCGCATCATTGCCGCACGCAGTGTAACGCTCTCTTCCTGATTCATGCTGTCGCCACGGACATCACCTCAGCTGTACTCGGTTTCTTCTCAGCTTCTTCCCTCCAACATTTACTTCGTATGACCCTTCACCGACTTTCTCAGTCACGACCCCTTTTCTCCACCGCACCTGTCCATCGGGAATTGGTTCAACTCATACTTCTTCCCCCACTGTCAGCTCAGGTAATTCCCGTGAGCCGTTGTCGTAGTACAGTTTCTGAGTAGCCATTCGCCTTTTCAAACTATTCAGTATTTTCTCAAGTTGTGGCGCGACAAGGCGCAGAAGTGTTGCGGATGCAGGCATCACAGTTTTGGTCCTTCGACTGTATAGGCGCTGCACTGGGCTCAAGCCGATATCCATTGAAGGAGTGTTGCGACTCTCCAGTGGCATAAGGTATGGGTCCTCCCGAGTATCTCTAGCCTTCGCTAATAGTCGCTTGGCTTGCTTCACTGCCGACTCTACCTTCCAATTTGATTGACTGTGATAGGGACTGGTTTGCCGGTGTGCGAATTCCCATTTGGTTGCGAAAGCCTGGAATGCCCTGCTGCTGAACTGGGGACCGTTGGCCCAGACTAGCTCCTCCGGTATCCCGTGCCGTGTGAATTGACATCTGAGTTTGTTGATTACTGCCTCCGTGGTCGTGGTGGTGAGTAAATCGATTTCAAAGTAATCACTATAGTAGTCCACCGTGAGTAAGTAATCTTTTCTGTTGTCCCAGAATTGCTCCACTGCTACCTTTTGCCACAGTCGGTTCGGAACATCATGCAGCATCATCGGTTACTTCGTTTGCCGAATGTTATAGGAACGGCACGCCTCACAGTTAGACACATGATCCTTGATCTGACCTGTCATTCCTGGCCAGCACATCAGTTCTCTTGCTCAATTAATGGTGTAATTTGCACCCAGGTGAGCGCAATGGACATGCTCCAGCATCTCCTTTCGGAGAGAAGAAGGGATTGGGATTCGACTTCCCTTGAACAACAGACCGTCACAGACAGTGAGTTCGTCCCGAAAATTGAAGTAGGGTGTTAATTCCTTCTGGAGCTGCTTCTTTGTTTCTGGCCACCCATTGAGGATAACTTCTCGCAAAGCTGCAAACGTTTGGTCTTCCTCCGTGAAACGCCTTACGTCTTTCAAACGGTTTTCTGTCACTGCCAGATGCTGCACCATGCTGATTGTCTCGATCTCTTCTAAATAATGTTCGGCCACTAGTGGATGTGCTCTCGACAGGGTGTCCGCGATGAACATCTGTGTGCCAGGTGTGTACAC